CATGTATACCGCTTGAAGAATTGGTACATTCATACATTGTATAATTTACAGTTCTATGCAAACAAGAATTATAATCAATCTCTTTTCAAACATACACTACTAATTTAATTACCTTACAACAGCTCTCTTTTATTTCAAACTAATCAAATTAAATTCATTAATATTAACTTCCTTATTTATGAAATTTGATATTGAAAATTGAAATTTATCAAATATAATATCATATTTATGCAGTATGCTTTCCATCAATGAAACATACATGTACATTATCGTACAACTATATGACATATCAATTGTACAATAATAATCGTACTTGAACCTTCTCTATACTTTTATTTATACAGACATAATAATAAAATGTATTTCTTTGATTTTCAGCACGGGGTTCCAGCTGTTAACGAAAAAAAAATGATATAGAAATTTATGCTTTGATTTACTGTACAATTATTATCACCAGTTGTTACATGTAGTATATAGTTACTACAGAGAATACGCCAGTTTCCTCAAATAAACTTCAATTATATGTATAGTACTCTACAGTATAGTGCATTTTACCATTACATAAATAGTGCTGACTTAGTGTTATAATTTAATTTTTAGAACTTCTAAATCCCTGTAATTTAAGACACCTCTTTCAAGAATGGTAAAGAACACAATAATATAAAGCTTGAGTGAAATTCATTTTACCATTGCTTAACTGACTATTAAGAGTACGTGTTTTAAGGTGTAATGTCCTTCTGATAAGAGAGATAACTTTCTAAGGAAATTATTCACAGCAATCCAATGTTACCAGAGTTTAATAAAGAGGACCATTATATAGTCAATTTAATCAAATCTGAATTATGTTACAAATATTAAATATTGTTTACTATTGCCAATATTTGTATAAATTACTTATAATAGTTTACCTAAAATATTTATACTCAGTTCTATAATTAAAATTTTAAATTGAGATATTTCTATCTCTTAACATATAATTCTTTAATTGTTTCAAGAATTTTAGATGCAGAATTTTTATTATCAATTAATAATTTTTTCTCTTAAAAATATTTTGAAGAAAGATGGAAATGTAGATGGAAAGATAACTCTTGCAGATGGATGCATTTTTGTTTACTAGCATGGAAAACAATGTGATATTCTCATATAAAACGCAACGCTTCATTGTTTCCTTATATGAATTAAATACATGTAGGTATGACAGTAAATATCATTTTCATATATGCCTCATATTTTTAATTTTATGTTGAGATAAAAAATGTTGATCTTTCTATTCACTATATCAGATTTTCTTCATATCATGATTAGACATGGTATCAATTTCTGAAAAAAGTAAGCAACGCTTCATCCTCACACTATTTTCCAATTGAATCTAATGCTTTTGTTGTTGATGAAAATCAATGTTGGGAATTTAAAAAAAAATGGTGAAATTGAGAGCAGAGGGATATTCACCTTAATGGGGATTTGTCTGTGTTCTAGAAAACGTCAAAAACCTCAAAGTCACACACCTTCGACAATGACTAAAGAAGACGTAATAATACCAAGGCTGTCAGATACAGATTAACGTCTACTAGTTAATTTATGACAAACTGGATTTTTTTGAGGGGCAAGTGACAGAATGCTTAAAATAGATACTAGTAAGCTATAAAAAAAAAAGTCCTTATAGATGTTACATGTACTCGTACTTTGTGCCCTGTGGCTTAAAAATGATCTTCACTAATTTTTATGGTGAAAATAGCAGAAAAGACAAATAGATTTTTTATGCAATATGTCTTTCTAGTTCAATATGTTTCAATTAAGACCATCCTGAAATATCTCTTAAAAAAACAATCTTAAAAAATAACCGTAGTTTACTTTAGTATCAAAGTCTCCAATATGGCTAATCAATGTTTTACTTTATACATGTACCAAATCAAAGAATTTCTACGATGTATTTTAAAATGGATGTACATGTATTTCATTTTCTATAATATATATATATATATATATATATATATATATATATATATATATATATATATATATATATATATATATATATATATATATATATATATATATATATATATATAAAATTATATATATTTAAACGAAATATAACTTTTAATTAGTATATTCACATATTCTTTTCAAAAGCTACATTATTGGTGTGGATTTTAAATGAAGGCTCTAAAAGCTCTAGAGCAAAGATTCATAACAAAGCAAAATATTAAAAGTATGTTCGTTTGTTTGTTTGCTTGTTGTTTAACGTCCCTCGAGAATTTTTCACTCATATGGAGACGCCACCACAGTGGAGGGCTGCAATTTTATACCTATACTCGGCACTTAGGTTCATTGAACAGTGAGGGATCTTTTTCGTACCAACACCTACTGCGACACAAGACATTGTTTTACAAGGTCTCCGAAGGGACAGTGACCACATCCCGCAGTGGATTTGAACCCGCGACGTAAAGATCAGCTCCTTACTCCGCGACTCTAAAGCAGAGGCTCTACCACTGAGCCACGCGGGATATCTACGTACCCGTACAGTACTATTAATAAACTTTGGTTAACTATGGTTGAACTAAGCTGTTGATAGTATCGGTATGTGATAAAGTTCTTTTTAAAAATGATTACTATATCCATACGTAGCGTAATCATTGTTGGCACCAGGCCCGTAGGAAGCAATTTCAGTTTGGGGGGGCACAGCCAAACATTTTTCAGTTGACAGTTGAGGGGGCACTACCAAAAATTTTCTGACAAGCAAAAAAAAAAAAAAAAAAAAAAGGTCATCAGGCGGCTTTATTGAGGGGGCACATGCTTATAGTATCTATGTTTACTATAGTAATCTATATATCGACAAAATTATTGGGGGGGCACGGCCCCCCCGGTTCCTACGGCCATGGTTGCTATATGTATTTGTATGAAATGAAATGAAATTAAAATCCAGGCAATGCTCCCAACTTAATAAAAAGGTGAATAAAAGTCGACATTACCGTGAAAGAGAAGAGGCCTTATTCTGTTGACGGCACAAGGGTTTTATTGCTGAAAAGATAACACGATAATTACATCCTTTGTTGATTGATTAGGCCCCGCTCTGCGGGTGCCCTATATGATCAGTCTGTCCGTCCGAGATCTCTTGTCCGAAGCATATCTTCTCTCTCCTTGGCCCAATCTGGCTCATATTTCACCCACAAAGTGTCTTTGGGTAAAGGGTGTGCAGTGATCTTGAACCATGTTTCTAGGTCTAAGGTCAATGTCATTGCAGAATTATATGAAAAATCCTTGTCCGGAGCATATCTTCTCTCCTCTTGGTCCATTGTGGCTCATACATCACTCACAGAGTGCCACTGGTCAATGGATGTGCAGTGACCTTGAACGAAGTTTTTAGGTCAAGGTCAAATATGTGACCGCGACTGGGAAAAAGGGGCCAGATGAGCAAAAATCAGATTTTGAGTTTTTGTCATTTTTTTAATTCTCATAAAATTTTGTCAAAAAAAAAAACAGAGTCATATCTTAAGTCGTTTTCAAGTTATGACCAGATTTGTTCATTAACCTTTTATTAAGTTATTTTATAAAAAGGCACTTTAAAGTTTCAAAACTCACACTTTTCTTTGATGTGTAAACACAACATTACCGGGGTACTTCCAGTCTAAAACCAGAGAAAAGTAATGACTTAAATATATTTTTTTTAAATAGAAATGGAATAGGAATTCTAGAAGTGTACAGAATTGTAATCATTGTTGTCATGGTAACAAAATAAAGAAGACTTCTTATCATTAACATAATCATATTTACACGAGTTCAAATACATTCGGTGTTTATAAGTTTCATATTTTCATACACATTCTGTGTTCATAAATCTTCAATTTTTAAGGAAGCTTTAAACACTAACATAAACTGTTTTTGGACTTGGAGAAAAATATGTCATATAAAGGTGTGCATATTGAGTTTATCTAGTTCATTTTCATTATAAGGTACCTACCATATTTCCCCTGGAAAAAATGTTCAAAGACAATGAATTCTTAGTGAACAGAAATTACTGATATACTTATTTACATTGGGAAGATACATACAAATAATTTATTCAGTTACTTTATATTGGTCTAATATAATGTTTAGAATACTTTTGTCTAGTACACATTGTGTCTTTCACTGTAGATTCCAGTTTATTCTAATCTTGCATCCAAGGGCAGATCACTCTAACTGCATAAAACTACCCTGGAGTTAGTACTCTTCAGTGTGCAGTGTTTAGAGATTCCTTAAACAATTGGGGAAATAAATACAATAAACTTCCTGAGAAATAAAATGCCCATCACATTGCATAGTACACATAAGAACATGCTAAAACATAGATAAACATGTACATGTACACTCAATATGTACATGTATAATGTGGTGGTGGTACATAACTTCATCACCGCTTTAATACTAAAGAATGAAATTAAATAATCTTATGCAAAGCATAAGGCAATTAGCCAATTATCATATATGGATAAATTACATATTGGCAGATAATTATGAAAGTGTTACTAGGTAAAATGAATAGAAACCTTTTCATGTTACAGCTGTACATTGTAACTTTGTAATTCATGATCACTAAAAGTATGTGTTTTGATAAAGCATGTAAATTGACAATTACACAATGTGAAGAATTTACCATCAGTGAATCACAAATTGCCTTACTTTAAATAAATCATACATGCTCTGATAAAACAATGTTATTTACATGTGTATGACACAATTCATACATATAGAGAACCTGACTTGACCAGATAATATGTAAAACAATCAATCACAACTTTTGTACATATTAAAAAAACATAAATGCTTTGATAAAACACTGTTAAAACATGTACAAAACACGTTAAAAAAAAACACATGTACAGAATTAACCAGAGAACATGTAAATCTTTCCTATAAACTTTAAGCATTAAGGAAAACATGTTTTAATAAACTGCACATAATTAGAAACAGTTCATACATGTTGAAACATGTCACAATTAGTGAATTACAAGCTTAATTTAGTAAAGCCTTTTTCTGCCACCTTTTGGTTTATATTCTTCAATGCATTCTGTCAAGTCTATTTCTTGTTTGGGAACAGTAGGTTTTGGACATATACATTCTTTTGCTGTGTCTGAATAGCAGTGTTCTCTGATGTGGTCAAATAAGTACCATTGTCGAGCAGGTTCAAGGCCTTTAATGGCTGATGGAGAAGGAAGAACACCTGGAATGGGAACTTTACTTTTGCTTTTCAGTAACATGAAAGTGACAGGCTCTGAGGAAGCATTTTCCCGACATCTAATAATTCCTGGATTCTCTGAATCCATGTAGAAATGGTGGTAGCGGGTTAGGTACTTCAGAGGTTTAAAGTACTGTTGTAAATAATTCTTCCATTCATAGAACAGGACAGGATCTTCACCATTGCCTACAACCTGTGGTATATTGTGACCACTTCTACTGGAAGTCCTAACGGATTCTGCTACCTAAAACACAATCATAGGGAAAATATGTTATAAAAGACACCAGAAAAATGAAATAAAATCTCTTATTTTTTAATCATAGAAAGAAAACTTTATCAAACAAATATATTATGACTAGATTATCATAGTATTTTTCATGTACCTGTAAATAAAAGTACCTGTGATATTGTTTCAGCATTGGTGTTTCTCCAGTGCACCTTCCAAATGCCAAAATGCCAGTCTGGCTCAAATTTTGTATGGCCAGCTACCAAAATCGAATATTCTATGGTTCTGTGTAGCCCTGAAGAAAATGTTGAAAACATGATTTCTTTCCTTTCAAGAGATGCATTTGATATATATTGAATTCATGTAAAGTGTTCATTACACTAATAAACTGGTGTACAGAAGTACACAATATTACATAAATTATAACAATAACAGCATCAACCTACCTGTCAACACTCTCCAAAGACCATACCATAACACAACATTGTTTTTATTTTGTCCTGTACAGTTATCAAAGTGAACTTTGAGATCTGTTTCACCATGCCCAAACTTATCAAAGTAATGATGTACCATGCTTGTAACACTGTTAGCTCCTTTCCCAGGATTAGCAGCTTCATCAATAAGATAAAAGGTCTGTTTTCCTGTAAAATAAGCATGTGCATGAATGAAAATAAACAAACAGGTATCCAAATAAATAAATATGTAGTGGTGATAAAGCAATCGCTTAACAAAAATTTCTCTCTGTGGAGTTCTCATTTTAAATTCATGTATCATATAGATATTAAAAATTATAATCATATAAATTAAAATCAAAGATGTTACATGGTAAATGCTAAATTATAGAAGTGTCTTAATAGGGTACCCCCCCCCCCCCCCAAAAAAAAGAAAAAAAACCCCACATATATAATAAAAGGGTAGACTCAGTATATTTTTTGAATATATTATATGCCTTAAATGTAAATGAAATGAGTTAAAATAAATGAAGTGAAAAAAAGGATATACAGATCATGAATATCACCAAAAGGAAAAATATTCCTTAATTAAGACAGTTTTTATGATGAAAATTACCTGATCCTTCAGAGCAGATACCAAAAACATGGCATTTACGAGGGCTTTTGAAGTAGATTGGGCCAACTTGTTGGGCATGGTGTGGAATATGGACCTGCTGAGCATAATCCCAGGAGTAGTGCAAGGTGGTTTGAACTGACTGTGGTGGGTTACCTATTAAAAAATTGAAAGAATTTTGATATATATAAAAGAAAAATCAGCAACAAGACTGGTACAATTTCAGTCTGACAAAGCTGAGATTTAACATATTATTAAAATAACTATTACAAATTACCTGCTTTAGCTCTTCATCACATTTAGAGCATTGAAGTCCATCAGAATTTAATAGAATGTCAAACATGTCATACATGTTTCTGTGCCATTAATGTACATATACATTATGTCCTACATATAATTTTTAATGGGTTACAAATATTTGTTTTGAGAACTTACCTGAATCTTGAAGAGCAATTGGCAATTCCAGAAAATTCTGTTCAGCTAGTTTGACCTGCTCACGATAATAGTCCCTTTGTTCTTTGGCAAGCTGAACATGTTTATTGTACTCTGAAAGTAATTGCTCTTTCTCTTCCTCAGCAAGATTACCACTTTTCGAAATTCTATTTGCAAATTCCTGACATTTCTGACACAAATCAGTACAAGGTTTTGTAATAACTATATTTGGACACAGTTCCTACCATTGCCTTTGAAATGTTCGCAGACTTATGCTTCTGTATTTCATTTCTTTAGCAAGACTTTCATATTCTTGGTGTATGTCTACAGTAGATTTGTCAGATGGTAACAAAAGAACTTGATGATTCTTGTAATTGGGAAGTCTACCTGGTAGAGGTAGGGCATTGTCCGTGGCGAATTTCATCAAAAATGTCTTGATCCTCACTGAATCCTGGTAGCTCAATGCATGTTTTGAAGCTTTACCAGTCCCACCATGAACTCTAGGAGACAGTCCATCAACATCAAGAGAGTGTGCGATTGACTGCAACTTTTTCCTCTCTATACCATGAATAAAACAAAATGTCAATCTACATACCCGTTTTCCTTTGAAGTAGAATTCTTGATAGGGCCGTTCTCTTTCTTTTGTTTTGTGTTTCTTTGCTTGTGTATGAACATCTGAACGGCGATGGGAAAACAGTTCCGCTTTTATAATCAGATCAAGTTCATCCTTGCTGACTTCTTTACAGTGTTCTCGGAATTCGATTGCCGATTCCACGTCAATAACTGTACTGCATGGTTCACCATAGAACTCCCTACATCCACATGTATCACTTCTAAAACGGGCCTGGGCAACATACTCCCGTGTGTCCTCATCTGATGGTTCAATATTTACAAGGTCCACGTCTTCATCATTGTCGGAATCAGATTCAAAGTTTTCGTCAGAACTGCTTTCGTTTTCGATCACATCATTATTTTCATTAAAATACAATTCATCTACAATGTTTAATTCTTCTATGAAACTAATATCTTGGTTATCTAAAATTTCTTGTGGTATAGAACACGTACTTCTTGTCTCCTGACTCATCTTTTCGCTTTAGATTGACCGCCATATTAGATCACCAATGAAAACAAAAGAAGGGGAGTAAATCGGAAACTTCCGTTTCAATATTTTGGCGCTTAATTAAAACCAACGAAAGAAAAAAATATCATTGACAGCTTTTGGATCAGACGACATAGCTGATAATTAAATTACATTGAAAAAACAAACAATTAAATAAGTGAAAAAACAAAACAAAACAAACACGTGTCTAACGTTTTTAGCGCGCCTTGCTTGTAATTATGACGTAAGTTTGATAGCCAATTTCTCATTGTGCCGCATCTGGCCCCTTTTTCCCAGTCGCGGTCACATATAGCCTCTCTGTTTAAATTCTTGTTCGGAGCATATTTTCTCTCTCCTTGGCCCAATCTGGCTCATACTTCACCCACAGAGTGTCTTTGGGTAAAGGATGTGCAGTGACCTTCAACCATGTTTCAATGTCAAGGTCATAGCAGAAATATATGAAAAATCCTTGTCCGGAGCATATCTTCTCTCCTCTTGGTCCAATGTGGCTCACACTTCACTCAGAGTGCCACTGGTCAATGGATGTGCAGTGACCTTGAAAAAAGTTTTTAGGTCAAGGGTCAAGGTCAAAAATAGCCTCTCTATTTAAATTCTTGTCAGGAGCATATTTTCTCTCCCTGGCCCAATGTGGCTTATACTTCACCACAGAGTGTCTTTGGGTAAAGGGTGTGCAGTGACCTTGAACCATGTTTCTAGGTCTAAGGTCAATGTCATAGCAGAATTATATGAAAAATCCTTGTCCGGAGCATATCTTCTCTCCTCCTCAGCATTCGTGATTTTTGTGCCGTTTTTTGATAGAAGGTATTGAGCACTCGTAATTTTCTTGCCATTTTTATTATAACAAGGATAACATAGAAGCTCTTTAGACTCAAACAACACATCCCTTAATAGTACACAAATGTTTCTCTTCAAAATACACCCTTTTCAGCTACCTTACATTTTCATGTCTATTGCTGAAAGCGGGGCCCTTTATGATGCCACCATCTCAATGATATCTAGTTGTATGTTGTTTTATGTCCGATTCGAGAATTTTTCACTCATATAAAGACCGGTAAAGGGCATCAAACTTAGACCTATACTCGAAACTCAGGGCTATTGAGCAATAAGGGTTTTTATCCTGCCAAGATCCGTGACTTTCACTACTAATTCTTGGCGCTTGGCGAAGGTTGCGTCTTAGGTTTGACCGGCGCGACACGGCGAACGAGGATCGAATAGTATTGTAGAAACTTTGTTTTTGTTTACTCTGATAATATTCATGATTTTTTTTCTACATGGAAAAATAATATTCATAATAGATGTACTATTATAATTTTTAGTTAAATAAACTATTAATATAAACATGTTTGTGTTTCCGCATTGTTATATTTGATTAATAATTTAAAGACCGGTAAAGGGCATCAAACTTAGACCTATACTCGAAACTCAGGGCTATTGAGCAATAAGGGTTTTTATCCTGCCAAGACCCGTGACTTTCACTACTAATTCTTGGCGCTTGGCGAAGGTTGCGTCTTAGGTTTGACAGCTTTCTAAGAATAATGTAACAACGACATAATACAGAATGTTTTAAATACTGAAAACACGAGGCTTTTATTTAATCTAAATGTAGGTGTTATAAATCCTCATGAGGGGACACAAATAATGTGAAAGTGATATTTTAAACAGCTTAAGAGTCATAATCTTTTGACAATGGTAAAAAATGGGCTTTAACATTCGATTCTGTAAAATACAGAATTATGGCACTCATAAAAACAAGACAAGGCTGTTTGATTTAAGAAGTCTTGGGGAAGCTTGGAGGTTTTTTGGATTAGAAAAGCTGTTGAAAGTTATTATAGATATTTCACTCTGCCCGGCAGCTTAAGAAATGTATCGTTTTTATTGACTTTTATAATAAAATTCACTGAAAAAGACGAATCTTTTATCAATAATACGATCGAGTAATTTGTCTTAATTAAGAACAATCTTCACAAACTGGTTATGCTCTAAGACTTATAGTTTCAAGTAGGAAATACTTCTACTGTCGTTTTGTAAATTATAATATAAAATTAAAACTTTCATGTTTGATTTAAAAAATTTGCTTATAAAGCAATAATCTCTTTTTATAACATGGATCTTTCTTAAAACATTTTTAGGGAAAACGACAAAATATGTTATAAATTATTTTATGTGGCATTTCAATGTTTCAGACTTGTATGACGTTTTCTGATGAAGCATTAATTTTGTTGTTGCATTCAAGAATATACAGATGACTCGCATGATCTATACGAAAATCGTGTAATAACAACGCAAAAAGCAAATGTTTTAACATTATTTTTATGAAAAAGTAATTCATGCAACCATTATTTGCATGCATCCATGTGCATATCGGACATTTACAAAATAGATACATCGACACATTCATATTGTAAGGTACTTTTGAAATAAACAATGAATGTGAATATAATTCTGTTTTTGTTTTGTTTTTTTTGGCAAAATTGTTGCGTAACGGCGTAGCGCAGAATGGGTTTGACCCCCCCCCCCCCCCCCCGTTATCTATACATCAAGTCATGAGTTCGAATCACGCCGGAGCTTACATAAATTTCACCTTTCCAAACAAATTTAATAAAAGAAATTATGGATATTTATTGAAAATATGACAACAACAAAGAGTTGAGCACTGCTGATACATACAGTACAGGCCACGAGTTTTCCCCGTCGCACGGTGGAAAACACACCGTGTGAAATGCTCTGTGTTACACCGTGTACACGGTGTAGCACGGTGTGTGTGGATTTGAAATACACAGGTAGGCACACCGTGCCGCACCGTGTCTAGAAAAATCCCTGCTAATGCACCCCGTGTCGCACCGTGCCCAAAAAATTCCCTCCGTGCCGCACCGTGTCCATAACATTACAGAGAAAAATAATTTTGTTCTGATAAAATATTTTAAGATTTTAAAACAATTAGCACATTGATTTATATGTAGTGTATAATTATCGTTTTCTAATCTAGAAGACATTACGTGTTCTGAATTGTACTAATGATACATGTAACAGGATTAAATATCAGTAACAGAAAAATTAAATGGAGTTCAATTTACCGTTCGCCCAGAAGTTCATATTTTGTAAAGTTGTTTAGTTACTTTTTAAAATCATTACTTGGATTGAAATTTTTAATGTCTGAAGAATTTAATCCCACGTAATCACGTAACGAAGAAATGACATGATCAGTGTTACATGTGTTATACGATCCGAGCTGCATGTATTTGTTTTAGTGTACAAACCAAGCATTTATATTCTTGTGTAGTGCACATTTATTTTGTAAATCTTATATTATTCTGAATTTATAAGCGAGAATCGAGAGCAAAATTCCTGTGTGCAATAATGTGCGTATTTTTCGTAACAGAATAAATTCTTTACATAAACTAGTAAGTATAAATTCTGTTTTAGAAATCCTTTCAGTGTAAGAATTTAATATGTTTTTTCCTTAATTATGTAAAGAAACAATGTCAGAGAGATAAAGGAGAGAGAGAGAGAGAGATGCTCTTAACCCCCTTTCATTTCACATAAGTCTGAAGAAAAAAAAATCATTTAATTCTTCGTTTAATAATGCCGACGCGTATTTCTACCGACGTTTTTTTTTTCTTTTTATAAACTAGTATTTATGTTTTAAAACCCTTTCAGTGTAAGTATTTTATAAGTTTTTCTTTAATTGAAAAGTGTGTAAAAAAAAAAATTCAGAGAGAGAGAAAGAGAGAGAGATTCTTTTAACCCCCTTTCACATAAATCTGTTAAAAAAAAATAATAATATTAATTCTTCGTTTTATTTACATTACCAAAGTCACGATTAACCATTCTATAATACTATTTAAATTCTGCAACATTGTTTGTTGTTCTTGGTTACACACGAAATCCTCGTGCTACACCTGTCAATCAAAATCGCACGACGCTAGATGGCCCAGAAAGTCTGTTTACACGGAAAGTCTTGTGATTTGAAACATTCTTATGGTCAGTTCCGAGTTCACACCTTTCTTAAAAATATATTGGGACAGAGCCGGAGGGCCGGGGACGCTGTGTGTTTATCACACCTTTCGTCTTTGACCACATCAAGTGTATAACTCACTAAACTGACTTTCAGCGAAATTCATCTACCGAGTTACGCCACCACACGTGTACTTTGGCTTGATTACAAACTTACTTTGTAAATTATTCCTTTTCAGACACATATAAACATGTAACCGGTTAGATTATGGTTGTTTTATTTCAAAATAACGTAACATAAAAAAAAATCTGCAGACTCTCGAAGGGGGGGGGGGTAACGAACGTAATAGCTTGAAAGAGGCCAGGGATTTTACTACATGTAACTATATATTTTTTTTTCTCTAAAACCATGATAATAACTTTACAAAGACTTTGATCATAAGAGAAGCTTTATTCTATGCATGTACATCCCCGAACTACATTCGCTACATGTAATTGATTTTTTTTTTCGCAAGCCGTTCGACACATTTTTCATTAAATAATTTCAGGATAAGGTAATATATGTACAGTATACCAAAACTCGACTTTTTGTGTGTGTGATATATATTTACCTCCATATTTTACAACATTACAGACTGCAATAATCCTTAAATTATCAAAGAGTTTATGAATTATGTGCTTGTATCTGACACGTTTTAAATTTTATTTTAGGTATTTTTTTTTTTAAATTCTCTTTATGTAGAAATGATTTATAAAATAAAATATGCATCTGATAAATACCACATATGAATGCATACGTGCCGAAAAAAAATAGATGAAAATGACTGTAATTAAAATGAACACAGCTATAATCGAAAGAAAAGACAACCAGGTAATTTATTTACGAAAGTGTAATCACTATTCCTTCTAAGCGTTATAATAGTTTACCGAACATATTTTTTCTCTCGTATAACTAGGTTTTGAAACACGACTTACATGGATGTGTGTACACATTTGAAGACTTTGCCTTT